CGGTTGGGAAGGCAGCCACCTGGGACAGCAGGAGGCCATGTGACCCAACAAAAGAAGTGGATTGCTCTACTTTCTCTTAGTTTATCTGTCCTTGTGTTGCTTCAGGCTCCTCCTGGGTGAGCGGCTGTCCTCTTTCACCTGTCCCTCATACCAACCCAAGCTCTCTTCCCGCCTGTGTGGACCTGGGAGCAGAATCTCACTTTCCTTCTCCTCTCTCTCTCTCTCTCTCTCTCTCTCTCTCTCTCTCTCTCTGTCTCTCTCTCTGTCTCTGTCTCTGTCTCTGTCTCTCTCTCTCCCTCTCTCTCTCTCTCTCTCTCTCTCTCCTGAGACTCCCTGCCCCCACTCTGCCCTCTTTCTTTTCTCCTTCTCCTGGTCCTGTTTCCTCTCCTTCCAAGAACATGCCATTTCACCGAAAGTTCCATTTGCAGCCATGGTTATTTTCATGTTTCCCATTCTAACATCACCGAGGAATGTCTGACGTCATCTCCACAAGAGAATCCAATAGCCAGCCGCCCTACTTACTCTCTCCGTTCTTTACGAGTGTTTGCTCAGTCTCGACTCTGATTGTTTAAACACAGCTTCTCTGTGGGTCCCTGGAACCCTGCTCTCCCCTCAGTGTCTTGCAATGTGTTGCTTCAGAAACAACAGATGTAGGCCTCAAAAGACATCTCATTGCTTCCCAGCCTCTTCTACATCTATATTAGAATCACCTAGGGAAATGTAACATTCCTGTACTCACACCTCACGACAATGAAGTCAGAATGTCTGGGTGTGGGAGCCAGCCTCCAGCAGACTCTCCGTGATTCCAACCAACAGCAAAGATTGGGGGAACTGCCAACATGTGGAGATCCATGCTGAAGGAAGTAGAGCCTGCAGCCGACTGGACAGACTCTACAGAGTTGGAGAGAGGAGGGCACAGGACCCCTTCCAGGTACACCTGAGCTCTCCCAGCCTGTGTCTAGGGAGGGCCGATCACCAGTCCGAAAGGCATCCTTCTTCCTCAGCAGAGGGTGTGATTTTGAGCAAGGTGCCTCAAAAGGCCTATGTCTGGGAGTCATGGCTCCAGAGGAGAGCCAGGAGACAGGGTGTCCCCTTTCGGGATGCAGCCCCTGAGCCCTGGATGCGTGCTGACTTGGCTGAGCCTGTGCACCTGGTGAAGGACCTGGTCCTGGCGCCTGTCAGTCATTTCAGAGGGGAATGCAGCCACCTGGGGCAGCAGGAGAGGAGACATGTAATCCAACAAAGAATGGGAAACCGAATGTTCACAATGATCACTGTCCACTTTCAAAGTGGCAGTCACAAGAAGAGATGGGTGCTACAGTTGGGGTACCAGTGGCAGAGCCTGGATGTCCTTAGCTTCAGATGCTTGGACAGGCATCTTCATAGAGAGCTCTCAGACACCTATGTGGATCCTTCTAGGGGCCTGCTTAAACAGATTACTGGGCCTAGCCAGCCTCAGGCTCTGTCTTGGTTACTTTTCTATTGCTGTGATAAGGCAGTGTTTAATTTGGGGTTTATGGCTTCAGAGGGTTTAGAGTCCATGACCCTCATGGAGGGGCGTGTTACAGCAGGCAGGCAGACCCAGCACCGGAGCAGTTGAGACACAACCATGAGGTAGAGAGAACTACCTGGGAATGGCATCATGGGCTTTTGTAGCCTCAAAGCCCAACCACAGTGACATACTTCCTCCAACAAAGCCTCTTCCAGTGACACACTTCCTCAAACAATGCCACACCTCCTAATCCTTCCCCCAAAGTTTCACCATCTGGGGACCAAGTATTCAAACATATGAGTGTGGGGGGGGGCTATTTTCATTCAAACCACCAACGGTCTGACTGAGTAGGTTTGGCTTGGGATCCTAGGAGTTGCCTTTCTAGAAAGTTCTCAGGAGCTGTAACTGCAGAGCAACTTCTAATCTGCCAGACAGAAGGCAGAGGGAAAAGGCAGGAGGAGAAAATGAGAAGCAGAAGGGAAAGCGAAGAACGGCCCATCTGTTGAGGGAAGGCTGGGCCCTTCCTCTGCCAGCCCCAAGTCCCTGCTGAACCCCATGCACTCCGCACTCACTGTTAGTGCTCTGTGACTATTAGCATGTGGTGGCATGTAGACACATGTGGTGGCATGCAGACACATGTGGTGGTATGTAGACACATGTGGTGATATGTAGACACATGTGGCAAATGCCAGTTGATGGCATATTCTTCTGGAAAGACAATGTATGTTTTGGCTCTGTAAAGACACAACAACACAATTCAAAATACTAGCTTAGCATGCCCCAAATCCTTTGTTCAGAGCACGCTGCCCACACAGCAGTCCTGGACCTAATACAATGGCTGAGATCGTGACAGGGTTCCTGCCTATCTGAACATCACTGTCTTACAGGAATTATGGGTATCTAACAAACACCTACTTCAGAGGTGTTGGGAAGGAAAAAACCTCTAATTTCTGTGAGTTCAATTCTCCTTCTGGGTTGCTTCTGTTCTCCTGGCCTGAACCAGATTATAACTCCTGGGGACAGAAATTAGTCCCCGTGTGCTGCCAGCTGCAATGTGCCTCTAGAGGAGCTCACAGGCATGGTGCCCCACAGAGTCATTTACAACAAAAGTCTCAATGCTTCAGCCTCCTCCCTGCCTAAGCTGTTGAAGATGAATTTCCAGTTCCTTCCCGCTAATGGCTTGATGGGAAGGGCCTAGCTGGTGGTACGGGGGCTGGTGGATTTTGTCTTCTAAGAGACTGCCAGACTCATCAGGGCAATGTGCTGATCTGATGAGAAAAATGTTGCTTAGCGGAGGGGAATTCCAGCAACTTGAAAGCAGAGGAAATGTGGTAAACACACCATTTATATCCTGGGATCAGTAGTCAAATGAAGGAGTGAACTCTGTGGCTATGGTAAGACCCTGGTCAGTGAGCCTCCCACTCCCAGATCTCTCCTGGGATCAACTTGTTCTCTAACTTTATTCTTTTAGGCTGACCAGCAACTCTTGGAAGTTGTTTTTTCTTCTGTGGGAACGGAGGGTGACCACATGGAACCAGGGAAGAGGCAATGTTTAAAGAGTATTGTCTAGTCTCTCTGCAGTTTCCCACAGCCCAGTGCAAGATGCTCGAGCCTGGTGCAGCCCTTAGAGTCTGTGGTTAAAGGTTCACATTCCAGGACCATGTCTTCTATCCCACTGTCTGCTGTCTGTGAGGAAGCAGTCCAAGCATCCCCACCAGCTCTCCTGGTGCTCAGACAGTGGAGATGGCCACAGAGACTTGAGAAGCCAGGCTGGGCACCTGGAAATGGAAGTCGGAGATGGAGTCCAAGGCTCGGAGTCCTTCCTGAATACCTAGTTCACTGTTTATAGAATCATGGGTTATTTCTGTAAACAACTGGAGACACACTTTTTAAAATTGGTCTTACAAGGTTCTTCCTTTAAGAGAGTACAGGTTTCAGGAGTCTTACAAGCAGTCAATGTTATAAAATGGCCCATTTATTACTACACTATGTTGTACTTACAGTAAGACAGATCCTTCGGTGCTGAACCAATGTATTGCTTGATTGGTAATCTCTCACTATCTCATGGTCCAACACCCTCACCAGGAGATAATTCTGCAAGGTGAACTCTTCAAGCAGGGAAATGTGATCAGAAGAGCAGGCAGTGGATGCACCCTGGGAATAGGGTCGCACGTCGTGTCCCACTATGTAACTCATACAGATGGAGACCACAAAGGCCAACGTCCAGGGAAGGCAGAGCAGCAGCTGCCCTTCACGCAGTCAGCACTGAGTATGTGTCTTCTAAGGGAGTCACTCATGGCAATCTCCTCAGCACCACTGGACCCTTGCCTTTGAGTTGATGTTCCCCTTTCCTGAATAAGCCTCAGCACCCTGTCTGCACATGTATCGCTTGGCTTCTCTCAGCTTTGTCACTGTTGTCATCCTTTATGGCCTCTAAGGGGGACTGGCAATGTAGAAGGCTGCGACTTTATAATCACCAGGCTTAATGTCAAACGTGCAGCTTCACGAAATGTACTAGTCGTGAGATCCTGAGCCCGTTAACCCCTTCTGTTCCTTCATCTGTGATGTGTGTGAATAGTGATGTCTATATAAGCTGATACCTTTTAAAAATTCTTTGGCATTTATTTTTATTTAAGTATATATATTTTCCCTGCATGTATGTGTATATATGTGCCTTGGATTCCCTGGAACTGAAATTGGAAACACTTGTGATTTGCCATGTCGATGCTGGGAAAAGAACCCCAGCCTTCTGGAAGAAGAGAGAGTGCTCTTAACCACTGAGCCATCTCTCCAGACGACTGACCGTTTTAAAGCTTAACTATAATGCCTATCACAATGTCTGGCAGAAAGTCTCACACCTTCAATAAGCAACAGCTATTACCATTAACTGAACTAAGGAAGGATTCTCTTCTAGTGTTTGTACTGATCATATCACATGAACGTGATGCAATGAAACATGCGGTAGATTTTGTGGTAAGCAAAACACTGGATCTGAGTCTCTATCTGAAGAGGAATAATCAGAGAAATTGCAGCGTCACAACAGAAGAGTCCTCTATTCAAGATACCATGTACTATGCAACCAAGTGACATTTGCAACTGTCTTTCAAGATTCTAAAGCTGGCTGAGTCTGTTTTCAATGAAGAGTCTGAAGTCAATGCTTGCGCTAAACTGCTGTCAGTCCACAGAGACTAGCTTCATTCACGGTGGCACTGACATCCCAAACTGGGGAAGGGCTTTTGGTAGAGACCGGATCTGTAATTAGGTAATCCTGATGATGCGGATGTTAAGGTACAGACTTTAGATGATTCTACTCCTAGATGTGATTGTGTTAAATGTCTGGACACAATGAAGGAAAATTTTACTTGGCTCATCCTGGGAAAACAGTAGAAAGGAGTTTGGTGTTTCATTTCAACACACACAAACCACAAAACCTCTTTAGGCTTCCCTTCCCATTACTAACCCCTAATATTGAAATTCATTTGTTTTGTCTTTCTACAGACAGACAAACCAAGTTTTAAAACTCTTTATTTGGATCTTAGAGAAAGAACAGGTATTGCATTATAAAGACTTATTTGAGAGTCTGAAATAGTCTGTTGCCATTATTTATTGTAAACGGACATAATTATTAAAGGAGAGAACAATATATCTTTCCCACATTTCTTAAACACATGATGAGACAGGTTCTCACGTAGCCCAGGCTGACCCTAAACTCCTGATCTTCCCACCTCCACCTCCCAAGGGCTAGGACTCTAAGCATACTCCACCATGCCTGGTACTGGTGAAGGAACTCATGGCTTCAGGCATTCTAGGAAAGCACTCTTTCATCTGAGCTACATACCCATCTTCCAACATCTTTAAATGATCATGGATATTGTTCTACTGGCTTTAGCTGAGCCTTATTACCATGAGGAGGGGGAAAATCTAGAATCTCAAAGACCAATAGTGTTTCATAGCTTTCAACATCTCCTGAATCCTGGCAACTACTCAGAAACCAGAGTGGATAATTAAGATAGTTCAATCGATACACACTTGCCATGAAGTCAATCTACTAGTTCAGTCTGGGATTAGCATACTGGGCAATACGCCACATTTCCTGGTTTACTTAACTATAATCAGTTAACTGAGGACAAAAACCACACCAGTGTGGTATTTGCTGACCTTGACAAGTGACTTATTTATTCTTAAACCCAATATAAGTTAAGTCTTTTCATGCACTAAGTCTGCAATGCTTAAAGTCAGTGGAACACAGGGTCATTCTGTGACACTGGCTAGCTATGACATAACTCAGAAAGTTTCCTAATCGCACAGGTTTATCATTCCTTTTTTCATAGATTAGATGTGTACCTGACAGATATTGCTGAAGGTTCTAGTAATATCCAAAATAAACTATGTTTTAAGCTTAGTTATTAAAAATATAAGCTAATAGAATACTAATAGAATTTTCTTAGGCAGGAGAAAACTGTATTTCTTCTATGTGCATAGTTCCTTTGGACTCTGGTGATATCACATAGGTAGTCCAGAAGTTATTTAAAAAATCACCCGTGATTCCCGTAGTGGGGGCTGGGGAGGAATGCCTCCTCCAAGTGCTATTAGGGTGGAAATTACAATGTCTTCATTCCATTATGTTTCTTCTGTGCTCTACGTTTTTTTTTCTGTTAAAATTATGACACAGTATATTCATATTAGCAGGAAAAAAATCATTACTTACATAAGTTAAACTGATGAAAAGAACATGTGGGTCAGAAGATGGGGTCTGTAGGTGGCAGGAAGTGTCTATCAATCGTGGAGAGATGCAGCGTGCGTGGGGGTGGGTCCCTCTGACAGAGCTGCCGTATGAGTGTCTCACTTGGACATTCAGGTCTATCTATGCACCTGCTGAAGGAAGCAGTCAGCCCCTCGGGCCAAGGTGGGAAGAATGCCTTCACAGGTGGGCACCTCCATGAGTTCAGACGAAAGGGGAGGGCATGGGATCAGACCCTGGCTCTCTAGGTCAAAGGAGTTCAAGTGACTGCTTCTCATAGGCCACTGAAGCAGAAGCTGGACTGGAAGCTTTCAGCAGGGGAGGAGGTCAAACACAGTCCCCGGGTTCGTCCCTGTAGTACATTTCTGTCAGATTTCAGAGTAAAATGACAAGACCGAAATAGTCTTACATTTGTGAAACTGCGGGAGTTCTCCCTTGTCAAATGCTCTAGTCGTGGCAGCCATGTCCAAGAGCGTCCCGCTAAGGTGACTACTGGGGAATATTTGTCCAGGACAGAGATTTGGGCCAGCAAGACTGACAGGACAGTGTCTCTCTAAAGATCAGAGAAAAGTCAGTTTGAATACCAGTTCCTTCTCTGTTTTTAAGTAACAGCTTTTTGGGAAATTTTAGGAAAGAATCGCATGATGTTATCACTTTCAAGTACATCCTTGTCTGCTTCTTTATTATTACTGCTTTTATTTATGTGTCTGTGTGTGTGTGTGTGAGTACCACGTATGTGCAGATGCCTATGGAGGCCAGAAGAGGGCACTGGATCCTCTGGAGCTGGAATTACAGGCAGCTGTCCGCAGGAGCTGTGCTGTGGGTGTTGGGAATGGAACTTGGGTACTCTGGAAAAGCAGCAAGGACTCTCCACAACTCAGCCATCTCGCCAGTCCAGTGTCTACTTCTTGCTAATAGGAAAGGCAAAAAGGGTCCAACTTTGTGCTGCAACTTCATAAGGAAGAAATTAGAAGGTTGCTATGAACTTATAACCATGGGACTCCGGATTTTAAAAAACGCAAACTCTAGCCAGTGGTCTAAGGTGAAGCTGCTGTACTCCATGCGTGACAAGAATGACATCTGTCCCCAAGCACCTTTCTCATTGTCTCCTAACTGAAAGCAGGCTTATGTTCCACTCTAAGGGAGCTGTTCTCTAGCTAACCCCAGAGAGAAGCAGTTCTGACCCAGCAGTTAACAGGACACATCCACTTACTGCTGCTGAATTTCAGAACCGGGGACTTGCAAACACATGAAGGACCCTGTCAGTTCCCGTCATCACTTCCCAGCATCTCAGTGCCAACGGTCCAGGGCACGGAATCATCTAGTAACAGGTGGATGACTTCCTCTGGGAATGGAACTAATTTAAAAAGCAGATTTATTTTTATTTTTTATGTGTATCAGTGTTTTGCCTGCACATGTATGTGTGCACCATGTGTGTGACTGGTGCCTACAGAAGTTAGGGAAAGGTATACGATCCCCCTGGAACTGAGTTACAGATGGCTGTGACCTGTCAACTGAACCAGGGTCTTCTGGAAGAACAGTAAGTGCTGTTAACCACTGAGCCAGTTCTCTAGCTCAAATTTACTTAATTTTTCATAATCTTGCAAAATCACATTTCAAAACTTAATAAGTTAAAAAAATATATATATTATGTACACATATAGCCCCTATATTTCCAGACTATAAACCCCAAAAGGCAATCTCATCAAAATAAAAGATAAAACCTGAATGTCTGCTCAACTGATCCCAGTACAGCAGCTTCCCCTTCCAATGGCCCCGAGCTAGCACACAAACGTTAAGATAAAAACTACTACATTCACAGATGATAGCTCTTTCAGCAATTTAAACAGCAGGCTATGTCTGCGTATCTGCCAAGTGCCTTTCCCTTGTTTCCTGAAACTACCCTGAGGAGGACCACATTTCTCATCCCTCAGGATGGACTTAGGGGTGGGAAGGACAAGACCTGGAGGGCTAGTGAGGGCAGAGAGGGCAAGGCTCCAAGGCTCCAGAGTACTTTTGGACAGCCCTTCCCAGCTCCTTGGCTCCTTGGCCTGTGCTGTATGTCTGCCTGCTCTTTGGCTGTGCCTTCCTCCCAACCAGCATCCCCAATGTCACTTGTCGGAGAGGCATCAGCTTTAGCAAATGTGACACTACTGAGCCTTTGGTCTGAGGAACTGGTAGAATGAACACAACAGAGCAAAGATGCAAAAGGGAAGAGGCCCCCAGATGGCTTCTTCTTGTGTGCTCCAGCGGGAGGGAGAGGTACCACTGGAATCACTTTAGACATTATTGGTGACTTCCAGTAGGTCAGCAGGGGGAATGACGATGCTGCCGCTGCCTACAGCCACAGCCTCTCTTTGGGCTACTTCATATGCAGGAAAGAACAGGGTCACAGGGTATCCCACCTCCCTCACAAATGGCTACCCCTAAAAGTATTCCATGTGTTTGCTATCTATTCCTTGGTACCCATTAGAAGACCAGTTCCCAGGGAAAACATGTGCGGCTGAAATTCACCCAAGAGCCCGTGACGATGAACTGTGGCACTGAATTCCAACAGTCTGCACTGTAGAGAAAGGAGGCAGCTGCACGACTGACACCCCAGATTCCCAGGGAAAACAGCAGAGTGGCCCTGCCTCAAGATCATCTCAGTAGCTTGGGGGACAGCAATAATGTCCAGAAAATGGCTGTTGGTGAGGGACCAGGCATCATGGGGTCACAGGCAGAAAACAAGCAGATTGCATACAACCCTTGAGGGTTGTGTAGACTGGAAAGGAAACACCTGACAAAGGCTTGCAAGCCAACTGAGAAAATTCTATCCAAAGCTCTGAAGGAGTTCTCTCTTCAGAAGGACGGCAGCACACAAGGAAGAATGAAGTCCCGGCACCCATTTCTGAGAATTTACCAGTGTACAATGTACAGCACAATATGAATTTAGCTGCTTGCTATGGTAAGGGAAGTAGGCAAAATACAATAAAATGTATGTGAACATAACTTTTGATTTTCATTTTATTTTATTGTTTTGAGATGGTCTCTCTATATAGCTTTGGCTGTCCTGGAACTCAATATGTAGACCAGGCCAGTGCTAACATTAAAGGCATATGCCCAGGAACAGATTTTTTCCTTCTTTCCTTCCTTCCTTCTTTGCAAATTTTTGCCACACTATGGCACAGCCTCTCAGTGGGAATCCATGCTAGCTGTGTGCATAGTCAATGCTTAGGGGAAAACTCTCTAGTCTAGCTTAAATCTGAAGTCACCTCCAAGAGTCTGGTTTCACAGGAGTGTGTCCTAGGCTGAGGATTCACAATGAAAGGAAGCACTTGCCCTGAGGTCCTCAGGATCCGCAGCACCCCAGGAGAGAAAGGGAGCTGTGGCTCCAAACCTACACTGCCCATCTCAGCTCCCAGTGCTCAGACACAAGTGTACACGGACTCACTGCCTCTTCCTGTGCTCCACAACTGGCCTTCCCTTGCCTTCTTCCAGCGTGTGGCTCACTCTCTGACCCCATAACAGTTATCTGTTCATGGCTGAACCACAAATCACAAGTAAAAATAAACTTTACCAACTGGGGACAATCCTTTTACCCCAAATTCCAAACTGTTTTGACTCTTTGTGGGATGTTTTTGGCTGTTTAGCTTTTTGAAATGTGTGTTCTCAAGTGTAATATTCAGAATGAATTTGAATTGAAGGAGAGAGAAAGCCAATTGGTGGAAACCACATGAGCATGTGTTCTAAAGCAAAAATTGCTTTACTGTGCAAGGAAGTGCAGTGGACAATAGAGGAGGTGGGTCGCACCTGAAGGAAGATGACTAAGAACAAACACATCCAGCAGGAAAAGCAGTGCGGAAAAACAGAGGAGAATAACCGACACCAGCGACTCTGCGACAGGGCTGCCCCGCCGAGAGGACTGCTCTCTCTCGCTAGCACGGTCAACACAGTGGGCAGACGGTGAAAAGCAGAGCAGCTTCTTGTTCTTTGTCTCTTTCCCTGAGTCACGGCATGGGGCAGTTCTCCACTTGCCATGGGGCAGAGAGCAGCACTCCTCACCGGCTCTTCACTCCACTGCTTTCTTTCCAGTGCAGCTCGGGGAACTACTGTAACGACTCAGGAATGGTGCTGACCACGTGGGTCGTCTCTGTGGCTGTGGGAGGGGGACCAAAGAAGGTGTTGGTTTGGTTCCTCTGATGATCTCGGAGGTAAGGAGGAACGGAGGAGCTTTTGATGTGGAGGATCCTGGTGTCCATCACCTGGCAGTCAATCTGCATCATCACTTCATAGTCCTGCCCATTGATCACGTTATCTGGAGAGCAGACAAAGGGTTAGTCAACAGTGTGGGAGCCATCCCTACACTTTCAAGCATGGACGGGAGTTTATTAGTTCTTGCCTCAGGTCTAGTTCCCCAAGGGTCTTCAGTGGTTCAGTAAGAGCTGTGCCCTTACCTCCACCTGTGGAGACTGAGACACCAGACAGCTGAAGAGAAGGGAGAAACTACATCATCCCAACAAGGAAGACATGGTAAAGCCCTCTTTCCTTCCTTTTCACTGGAGTCCTTATTTTAAGAATCACTTACATTCTGTGCTTTAGTTGTTCACCTGTAGTTGACCTGCACCTCCCCTGGAAAGGCTTCTGGACTCCTCACTCCATGGGGTTTTCTCTACTACGTCTCAGCCCTCGACACCCATTGTGTTTCTCATTCTTACTGTACTGCCTCCTCCTCCCCACGTCACTACTTACATTCTCATACCTTCAAATCCAAAGCACTAGAAACTACATGCTCCCCAACAGGTACCCTAGTACTACTGCTGCTAAACCTTACTGGGACACAAGTGATGAAGACAGTGAGCATGACCCAAACTCCCAAGAACACTGGGATGGCTTCAGATGGAGGTAATTAAAGCCTAAGAGTGGAGGCTATTTACTCAATACAATCACAGCAGAAAATAATCCAAGCCCAGAGAAGGAAATGGACATCCAAATACACGAGCATTTTGAGCCCCAAAGAGCTATGACCAGACAATCTTTCCATGATACATACAATCGCAGTTAAGATGTCTTAGTGTTTCTGTTGTTGTGATAAAATACCCTGACATGGGAAACTTAAAAAAGAAAGAGTTATTCTGCCTCGCAGTTCAAGGTACATCCACCATGGAGAGGAAGCCAGGATGGCAGAAGCCTGAGGCAGCTGGTGACATTGCATCCACAGGCAAGCATCAGACAGAGATGAATGCACGCTGCACACCGCACGCTGCACACCGCACGCTGCACACCGCTGCGCAGCTCCTGCCCTCCATTTTCACAGTCCAGGATCCCATCCAGGGAACAGCCCCACCCAACAGAGGGAGTATGTCATCACACCTCTAATAAAGCAATCAAGAAACTTCCCATAGCCACGGCCAAAGGCCCATCTCTCAGGTTATTCTAGATTCTGTCAATCGACAACACTAACTGTTACAGATGTCAAAAGTGCAAAGCTAAGAAACAATATTAAAAAGTTGCAAGGGAAAATGCTGATTCACACACAAATGAGACATATCAGAATAACATCAGATTTCATGTTGGCAACCCTAAAAGTCAAGAAAGCATGGAATGATGTTCTTCAAGCCCTAATCATAAAGAACAGCCAGGCAAGAACACGATACCCAACAAGTTATTTTTTGACATTTCCAGATAACCACATACTAAGGCAATCAACGACAACCAAGCCAGCATTGCAGAAACACTTAAAGGAATACTGTGCACTAAGAAAGAAGAAAGAGTCTTATCCATGAGACAAAGGAGAGCCGAGAAGAAGTTCACGATGCCCAACACAGGAAATCTCTAATACTAATGGGAGGAAGAAAATAACTACCAATAACTCAACCAACCAGAACAACCAAAATAGCAAACCCCTCTCTTTAATAACCTTAAAAGCAATGACCTCAACTAACCATTGAAATAATACAGATCAATTGGATTAAATATAAACTTCATTATTACTTCTCTCCAAGAAACATAATTTGGGGTCCTACCACAATGACGAGCAAGTATGTGCTGGAGAGATGGGAGAGAAAGAGAAGTTGAGTGTTTGTGTGCTGTGAAGAAATGTGAAACTGGAGATGTGACGGTGGTGAGGAATGGCCTGAAGTGAGACGCGCCAGCGGTGGCATGGGCGCAGGAGAGCTGATGGGATGATCAACTCAGCTACCACCCAGGCCTATATCCAGGGCTTCAAGTTGACTTACCCCAACATCTACCCCATTGGTCCAGTGGAACCATAGCTGCAAGATCTCCACGGCTCAGGACAATAGCTAGATATCTGAGAGAAGTCTCAGTGAGGGTTGGGTATTGATGGTGTAGCAGAAACCTGAGGCCTTGAACCAGACCAATAACTCATTGCAATGAACATCTTCAAGTAAAGCTGTCTGGGCAAAAGGATCTACTGCGTGACAGCTCCCAATGGTGCTATGAGAGAGAAGTATGTGATAACGGGACAGAAAGGGTGGAGGAGCAGAGAGGCACATGCCCAGCAGAAATGGAGAAGCAACAGCTGTGATGGGTGCGAGAGAAGGCTGTGGCTGACAGGGGAGCAGGTCGTCGCCCAGAGGGGTTGGCAAGATGTTTCTGTTGTTGTGTTGTTTTTTTAATGTTAACTTTTTTATTTTGTTTTGGCAGGGAGGTTACAAGGGTGGAGGTGGATACGGAAGAACTGGGAAATGAATAGGATCAGGGTGTATGATGTGAAATTCACAAAGAATCAGTGAAAAATTATGTTATTAAAAGAGATGGAGAAAGAGAAACACAACTCACTGGCCAAATTATCTACAAACTAAAAGTCAAAGGATGAAATCAACCTTCCCAGCAAATACCAACAGCTGGTAGAGCTGGTAAAGCAGACTCCAAACAAAACCTAACCAGAAGAATAAGCCAGGACAAATGAGCAAAGGGAACACACTGAAGATCATACATCTGGACAGAGATGACCTCATTTCAGGGATGCAAAGTTGGATCAACATATGCAACTCAATACATTTAACACAACATGCAAATAGACTTAAAAGACAGAAATGAATTAAACATCTCAATACATACAGAAAAGGCACCTGACAAAAGTTCTAGTGCCTTCACGAAAAAATCTTGAAGAAAGTAGGAGCAGAAGGAACATTCCATACAAACGTTTGGTCAATGTTATGTTAAACAGAGAAAAAGCATTTTTTTTTCTGAAATCTGGAAAGATATACAGGTGCTTTCTTTCTTCTCTCATTCAATAGAATGCTTAGTCTTAGCTAGAGTAATAAGGAAAGAAATAAAAACGATATAAACAGCAAAGTGACTCAACTGACCCTACTTCAGGCGACACCATTCTCTACATAAAAAAATCTACAGCGAAGACCAACAAGACCCTTAGATCTGTGTTTTCAGCAATGCAGCAGGATGCAAAAATCAACCTGCTAAAATCAGTAGTTTCCTTATATACCAACATCAACGAATTTACCAAGAAACTAAGAACAATTATTCCATTCAAAATAGCCTCAATTCCAACAGTAAGAAAATTCCTAGAATTATGTCTAACCAAGAAGGTAAAAGGACTCTACAATCAAAATTCTAAGGCACCAAAGAAAGAAGCTAAATATACTAGACAACAGAAAGACTGTCCATGTTCATAGATTAGCAGAATATTATGAAAATGGCTATATTACCAAATATAGTCTAAGATATACTATGTGTATCTATATAGACCATACACATAGTGTATCTATAAAATTTTATTTTTGCAAGTATATAACTGATTGAACCTGTTTTTATGCATCTCCACCCTTTGTGTTTCTGGTGTAAACCACTTGGGCTCAGCCTTGAAACCAGCTTCATAAGTCCTTTACTAAGTAGCTCCTGAAGGGTTGTACATTTCAAAAAAGAAAACTTTATTAAATCAAAGCAAAAATAAAAAGTTTCTACACAGCAAAGAAAACTATCAGCACATTAACCCTCCCCCTAAAAAAAATTGCCAGCTATACTGCAGACAGGGTTAGTATTTAGAATATATAAAAAAACTGTAAAAGTTAAAACACCCATATTACCCCCCCCCAAAAAAAAACAACTCTGCCAGCTTTAGTTGAGACAGGGTTAGTATCTAGAACATATAAAAATAACTGTAAAAATTAAACACTCCAAATTCCAATCAGTCAACAAACACTCTAATGAACAGAACTTCTCAAAAGAGACACAAATGACCCCACAAGAATTTGTAGAAGTATTCAACATCCCTAGTCACCAATAAAATGCAAATTAAAGCTACTTAAGGATTCCATCTCACTCCAGTCAGAATGGCTAAGATCAACAAAGCAACACAAACGCTAGTGAGGATGGAGGAAGGAAGAACCCTTTTCCTGACTGGGGAGTATAGGCTGCACATCCACTATAGGAATCAATACAGAGGCTTGTCACAAAGGCAGAATCATAGGACCCAGCTATATCACTCCTGGGTATGCCTCAGAAAGGTTTCTGGGTCCTATCACAGCTTACTGCTGAAGTATTCACAATAACTAAGACGCCCATCAGCAGATACATGGATAAAAAAACATGGTACATATATACAATGGAATCTTACTTGGTCAGGAAGAAAAGTGACATCATGACACGTTCAGGAAAATGGATGAGACTACAAATTGTTATGTGAAGTAAAACAAGTCAGATTCACAAAAAATTATTGCATGTTTTCTTTTGTATATGAATCTTAGAATTTAATTACGTGTGTGTATGTGTGTGTGTGTGTGTGTGTGTGTGTGTGTATGGGGGGAATGGGTACATGTCATGAAACTAGAAGGGGAACCATGGAAGTGGGAAAAGGTCTTAGGGCGAAGAGACGAGACGAAGAGTAACAGATACATGTGACTTGAGAGTTGGGGTGGGGGAACAGGAACAACAAAAACAAAGAATGTTTGCAATGCCATAATAAACCCAATACTGCAACACTCTTTTCTAAAATACTGAAAGTGCTATTTATGGTTTTAAACACAAGGGCTGGAATCACTGAGAGCTAACATCACATGGCATCAGTGTGCAGACACTGTGTCTTGTATGCTTTCCACATAGTGAATTACATTTTAGAGCAACTGGATCAGAGGGTTTAGAGTAGGGCAGAGCACAGGGGAGAATATTTAAGCCCGTACTTTGACCTTCAACGATGGAGGGAACTGTCAAAGGAACAAACCATATGGATGGTAAAGAGACCTTCATGGGGGAGATTAGTCCCTTTACCCATACAGTTCCTAAAAATTTGTTTATTCATGCATATGGGTGTTTTGCCTGTACATACATCTGCAC